TCTTGTGTAGTATTATTCATTCATCCAATATCAATAACATATTTTCTCCCGTGCCTTCTCACACTTATTATGTTGATGTTGATATTGCTGGTTGTTACTTCTTTCTTTTTTCTTCTTTGAGCCGGGAGTCTATCGGAAACAACCTCTCTATCTCAAGGTAGGGGTAAGGTCTGCGTACACACTACCCTCTCCAGACCCCACTCGTGGGATTATACTGGGTTTGTTGTTGTTGTATAATATATTAAGTAAAAGCTAAAAAAGGTTTTTATAGTTTATTTCTTTTTATAATAATAGTAGCACCATAATGGTTTTAATTGATTCTGCATTTACTTACTGATTTTTATGTTAGATTTTCTCTTTTTGTCTGTTATATGCAAGTGCTATCTTCACTTCAAAATAACTTAAGAACATATGTCAGTTTTGATCGTGAAATCTCTTCAAGTTTGGCTAAATTGAAAATAAAACAACCAATTGCCTTCTATATGTTTGAAGCCGTTGATCATGTATAAGGGTAATACCGGAGTGGAAAAACTAGAAAGAACCAAACACATGCTAAAGCTCTAACACAAACTCAACTTTTATAAGTAGCATATATATATATGTTGTTCCATAAATTGCTTCCGGGCAATTGGTTTGTATGTCATACAATTATGAATTGGTTATGTGTCCCAACATGTTCTGTTTACATATTCTCTCCTGTTTCATGTATCTGATGCATGAGACTCTTCTCTCGTCACGAGTGGCATGTTTAGAAGAACATTAGTACTTCTCCTTTATAGTACTTATGGCAGGGAATAAAACCAACCAAGTACACCATAGAAGCAGGGAGATTCACTGAATACCAGCTTCTTATGTTCGATTTCTGGTCAAAATTGGAGAAAAAATATATTTTAAGCAAGAGTTATCTTCCACCATAATGTAAAAGACTCCCCGACATGCTCACCACTATAATCTTTTATTGTTTTAGTCTGTTGCTCGAAGATACTTTTTGCTTTTTAACCCTACTTTATGCTCTTTTTTTCAGTCTCCTCCAATCCACCTCCCTCCCAATAGAAAAGAAATAAAAGTTAGAAAATCCTATGCTTGTTTTTCTAATTTTGGCAGCTGTTTGGCCCTTGGGACAAAGCGAATGGCTCGTTTAAATGCTATTGTGAGATCCTTGCCATCCGTGGAAACCTTGGGCTGCACGACAGTAATCTGCAGCGACAAGACTGGTACTCTCACAACAAATATGATGTCTGTGTCAAAGGTATGTTCTAAATTATATACTGTATTTGTCCCNAGGTGATGTAAGATTAGATGGGGTTGTGGTGCTTAAATACAGACAATTCAGATATCTAGGCTTGATGTTCCATGAGAATGGTATGATAAATGAAGATGTAACACATAGAACTAAGGTAGATGGTTGAAATAGAAAAGTTTATCGAAGAGTTCTGCGATAGTAGTCCATCTGTCAAAGTTAAAAGGCAAGTTCTGTAGAAACCATAATAAGAGCAGGAATGTTATATAAGATTGAGCGATGGGCCTCGAAAGTCAAATATATTCATAAGATGAGTGTCGTAGAAATGTGAGTGTTAAGATAGATGTGCGATTGTACTAGATTTGACGATATTAGAAATCATTACACTATTGACATTAGGTACAAGTAGCACAGTAGATGATAGGTTGAGAGAATGTCATTTGAGATGGTTTAGACATGTTTTCCAAATTCCATAGAGCCCGGTATGCAATGATCCATACGTATGAAAGCATGATAATTGAAGATATTAAAGAGGAATGAGGTAGACCTAAAATCATATCGGAGGTTTCCTTGAAAGGGCTACAATCTCCTGGAATACATGCAAACTTTGCGAAAAATAGAACGCAGCAGAAATAAAAGATCCATATAGGTGATACTAACTAGTTGGGAATAAGACTTGGTCATGCTGGTAAGCTTATGTTAGGTCCAACTTTTGCTAGGAGTCTTCCTAATCTTTTCAAAGGCAGTTGAAAAGGTAGAGATAATCTAAATTGCTAAATATTCGAAAGAAATAGGCCCGGAGGACCGAAATGGATAGTAATGCAGATATTCTGCCAATGTTTTAAAAAATCATTAGCACATGTAAATTGTGTACTCTAGATTTGAAGAGCACAATATTTTTTTTAAGTCTATCATTTTCTGGTACCTACAATATTGAGGTTTGTTCATTAGTCTGTAAGTTCTTTGACAAATAGTATTCACTTGCTAAAGAATTTTTGATATTTTTTTTCTGTTCAGATCTGTGTGCTTCATTCAGTAAATAATGGTCCAGTGGCCTCTGAATACGTCATCAGTGGCACAACTTATGCACCAGAAGGTTTTATATTTGACAGCTTGGGAGCCCAGGTTTTCCTTGCACTACATATGCTTCTTTTGTTTTGACTGCAAGCAATGCCGCTCATGTGTTAGCAGTGTAGGACATGGATCCGGTGAAACTGAATTCTCCGTGATTGTGATGTAAATCTTAGACAATTATCTCTTGAATGCTTATCATCTCAAGTGAAGGCTTTGCAAAACCAAAAAAAAAAAAGGAAAAAAAGAAAAATCAGAAAACTTACCAAATATAATTTCCTTATGGCATTTAAATTTATGCAACGAGCAAGAGAAATAGGATAGTCTCTGAAAGGCAGTGTTGGCCCTGTGCTACCTTCTGAAGTTGTGAAATTGACCTTTTACATTAAGAATTTTCAAAAGCCCCCTCAAGCTTGTCATTTGTCCCTGCTAAATACTTTTCCTATCCTTTCAGCTCCTCTAAGAATGAGTCTGGTAAAGAAAATGGAGTTAGCTCAATCCCAAAATCAAGATTAAGATGTGATGATTGTGCAAAACCATATAAGGAAACTACAACTTATACACTTAATCTATGTGGGATTCTAACATCCGTTGGATGCTTAGAACTGGACATCTGGAGCATGTAGTAGCGTTACTTGGGTGAGTATAGGGTAGTTCAACATTAGGAATGTGTTCGGTTTTGATACCATGTCAAGAAAATGGACCTTGGACCTAAGTTAATCCCAAGAATCTAGTTCACCGATGTTGGCATCTGACTAGTCCTGTGTTTTCTTTGTTGAAATAAGAAAGGTACAGGACAGCTAATTCGTAGTGGTATGCGTTAACCTAATTTTATTGGTCCAAGGACCCTCTATGATGAGTTTGCTACACTCCGGGATTCTGTGAATTGAAATGCCATTTTTCTCATGTCTGATGCCTAGATGATTCTCCAGCACTTAGTAGGCAAACTCTTTTGCATGTACAAAACCTGTGAAGTGGGCGGCTTCTTGATCAGCCTGTATATATGCTATTAGTAGAAAGTAAACACCCTTCTACTTTACAGAAAACAACTAGTGTTAGAACCCCTGCGATGCGCGGATAATTTGACAGAGTATTAAGCTTATAAAATTATGATCTAATATATCATATTTAAAAAAAAATATTAGTTGTTATTTTATCTTTTAATATAGTGTGCAGAAATATAACCAAATCTATACAAAATAAAAGGAACACATCATATAGTAACCAAATAATCTTGTTCCTTATTTATTCTTTATTAAATTAACAAGTGGTTAGTACTATACATTTACTAATGTGACTTTTTATTAACTTGTCAATTGGCTTATGTTATTTTTGTTATTTTTTTAAACTTATTTTATACCGTTTAAAATTCTTCAATTATCTGAATTTATCAATAATTTTCTTGGGGTTATTTATTTTATCTTTTATTTATTAACTTGTCAATTGGCTTATGATATAATTCAAAGTATAAATATCATAAAATTATCTTTATCCCCCTCTTTTTGTACATTATTTTCTACTGTAATATTTGATTAGTTTTCTCATTTTGTATTTTACTCAAAATTAAAATAATATAATATTTTTTACTAAATGATGATTTTGAATTCATCAAAAGTATGAAGAGATAAGCCTTTTGTTATTTTTGTAAAAGTCTATCAATATTTTTAATAATTACTGCCTCCGTTGCAATTTATGTGAACCTATTTCCTTTATAATCCGTGCCAAAAAGAATGACCCCTTTCCATATTTGGAAACAATTTACCTTTATGCAATGATTTATAGCCACACAAAATATATGTGCCTCATTTTGCACCATAAATTCAAAAGTCTTCTCTTTTTTCTTAAACTCCGTGCCCAGTCAAATAGGTTCACATAAATTGAAACGAAGAGAGTATTGTTTTGTGTTTTATATATAATATGCTTATCTTATGTGTAAATGTCCTAATAGTATCTTTATATATATTTTTTTCATTATGAAATTATGAGTTTATTTATTAAGTAAAATTTCCTACATGAGAAATTTAATTAGTATATACATTTTTACGCTTATCGCTTGATATTCTTTCGTTCTTTTTTTTAGTATTCTTCCTTTATGACTATTTGTTTATTATGATTTTAGTTATTATTATATGTATGACTTTTCTCATCATAATTCTAATAATAAGTCTGATATTTTATATTTTCCATAAATTTATATATTATTATATTTATATATTTTCCCACAAAGAGGGGGATAAAGATAATTTTCTTGATTGTTATTTATTTATATTTTATTTTTTTATTAATTCAAAGTATAAATATCATAAGATTATCTTTTATCCCCCTCTTTTCGTATATTCTTTTCTACTATAATATTTCATTATCTTTCTCATTTTGTTTTTTACTCAAAATTTAAATATATAATATTGTTTTAGTAAATTATAATTTTGAATTCATCACAATTATAAAGAGATAAGCCTTTTGTTATTTTTGTGTTTATTTATTATACGGAAATTATTATATTATTCTTTTAAATGGATGGTGTTGAATTATTTCAAAGATTAAACATAGAAGTTGTTTTATTATATGTCATAAATCTATTAATAATTGTAATAATTATTATTTTTATGTTATTTTCAATAAGAAATTAAATTAAATTCTCCTCCCCGTTTGTATTTAATATGGAAGTTTAATTTTTTTATTAAGATTACTACATAAGAATTTAAATTATATCTTTATATTTTTTTATTTATTTTTGGAGTTTTATCTATTATAATATTTTTAGTTACATGATCTTATCCATATAGCAAGACCATATGAATTATTATTCAAAAACTTTCTCATCTCAAAAAATAAATTAGTCTTATCCTTTTATGTATCTTAACACTGAAGTTATTTATTTATATATTTTTCCTCATTTATTATAATAATTTCCTAAAACATATATAGATATTTAATTATTTTTTGTTCAAATTCAAAATGAGTAACTAATTATTAACTAAACTAACTAATTTTGTCCTAAAACTACTATATGTCTTTCTCCTATGCTGCCACTTGTCATAATCCTAGGCTAGATTTCCTTCCTTTTAATAATATATAGTTATAGATATAGATATAGGTATAGATATAGCAAGACCATATGTATTATTATTATTCAAAAACATTCTCATCTCAAAAAATAAATTAGTCTTATCCTTTTATGTATCTTTACACTGAAGTTATTTATTTATATATTTTTCCTCATTTTTTTATACTAGTTTCCTTAAAAATATATAGATATTTAATTATTTTTATTTCAAATTCAAAATGAGTAACTAATTATTAACTAAACTAACTAATTTTTTTCTTCCTAAAACTACTTTATGTCTTTCTCCTATAGGCTAGACTTCATTCCTTTAATAATATATAGATTATTTGTTTGCTACTTGCTTCTATTCTCCTTAGTATCTTCATTTAATAGTTCATTTGTTTTGGTGTTCCTATGAGCAGCTAGAGATTCCTGCACAACTTCCTTGTCTTCTTCATATAGCAATGTGCTCAGCTCTTTGCAATGAGTCTGTTATACAGTACAACCCAGATAAGAGGATTTACGAGAAGATTGGTGAATCAACTGAAGTTGCCCTTCGTTTGCTGGCAGAAAAAGTTAGTCTTGACTTTAGCTTCTGTAGTTTCTTTATTACTTCCTAACCCTCTAATTTATATAACATTTCTTTCTATTTTGTATAAGTCCCAAATGTTTGACATCATTTAATTGATAACATTAGTTTATAATCCCACCTGTGGGATTATACTAGGTTTGTTGTTGTTGTTGTATTAGTTTATACAACTTTACATTTTTCAAGATCTATAATTTATTTAATAACTCAAATTTTAAATGATTTGATGATTTTCTATCAATCTATCTGTACAACCATTATTTCTATTGTTTCCTTTCACTATTACTTATATAATAAGTCAAATTAACATTTTAGTTCCCACAGGTCAAATAAAAAGGGATGAAGGAAGTATTTGTTTAAGATATGTACATTTTGCATGCGCATAAATTGAATTTCTGACTGATAATCAGATGTAATTCTATGTTTCTTCTCTCTTCAATTTTTGTCAGATTGGTCTTCCTGGTTTTGATACAATGCCATCTGCTTTAAATATGCTAAGCAAGCATGAACGGGCATCTTATTGTAATCGCTATTGGGAAAGCCAATTTAAAAAGGTGAGTTATGCTAATTTATTTATCTTTTTACTTTGATAATAAAAAATTTTAAGAGTTGCATTCACATTCTCATGGATTTTCAAACTGAATTGCTTGTGCTTAAACTTGGAAATAAATTATATCTGAGATATCCAAATGGGAGCGTGATTCAAGTTGCCGAACACATTTGAAATCATGTTACTTTCATAAGTGTTCCAAATGTGTTCCCCTATTGGATCTTACTAAAAGCGTGCTTCCCGCTGAGATGATAGTAACTCCCTATTATCAAATGCGCACAAGACCGTGAAATTTATGCAATAGTTTTATCATGGAAAATACGGTGAATATAATGGTTTTCACCATTTCGATTGTCACATTCGTTAAAGACATCATGCATCAATTGTTCCCTCTTGTTTGCATCTGCCTTTAAAATTTTGAATGAAGGCAAAAAGCTAAGATGAATTCAAGGTAAAAGTTTGTTACAGGTAATACAATCTTAAATAGCAGCTGGGTGCACCAAGCTTTTGCGACTAGGGGGTTCCAGCGTAGAGCTGGACCATCTATTGAGAAAAAGTGGTTATTGCAAGTTCTACAAATCCCTAGTAGTCCGGACCTATGTTACTCGAACTCTTCAACAATGTTGTTGGGTGCGTGTCGGATCCTCCAAATTTAGTGCATTTTTGGAGGATCCGACACGGGTGCGGCAGCACTTTTGGAGAGTCCGAGCAACATAG